CTCCCACCACTTACTCACTGACTTACTGACATTCTGTGCTTCAAACACATGATACCACTCACAGGTGTTTTTTGTTTTGTTTTGTTTTTCATGTTTATTCATTTTTGAGAGACGAACACGCACGAGCAGGGGGAGGGGCAGAGAGAGGGAGAGAGAGAGAATTCCAAGCAGGCTCCGCGATGTCAGTGTAGAGCCTGATGCGGGGTTCGATCCCACGAACCTAAGCTGAAATCAAGAGTTGGACGCTTAACCGACTGAGCCACCTAGGCGCCCCACCACTCACAGTTTCCAGCGAGGACGGGGTTCTTTCAAGCCTCTATGGGTCTGCACTTGCTGACTCCTTTTCCCCTTAGGGAAAACTCTTATTCAGCCTTCAAAACCCAGCTGAGTGATTATATCCTCCAGGAAGCTTTCCTTGACAAACCCCATCCACGAGAGTAGGCATGTCTTCGGTTGTCTTCAGTTTCTCGTACATACTTCTCTTGCTGCAATCACACTTTTGTAATTCATTTACACATCTGTCCTCCCCTCCAGTTTGTGAGCTCCTTTGATACAGAGACTTCTTCTTCTTCGTCATTGTATTCTTGGTGCCAGGCCTAGTGCTGGGGTAGAGCAGGTATGTGACATGCCTCTGTAGGGCCTTAACATTTGCCACAACCAGTGGGGCAGGCGAAGCAGGGATAAGGAAATAACTGGCAGGTTATTTTTCCATGGAGAACCTGCCATGAGCTGAGCACAATGCCAGGCACTGGCAGCAGACATTTATCTGGGCTTTAATCACCTGTGGTTCTCAGTGCCTGGCACACAGAAATGCTCGGTGAATTCACGTGTGTGTCCGAGAGCCAAGGAAGCTTGCCCAAGGACGTGCAATGTAAATGGACGGTTTTATAGGATTTACTATTGTCAGGTCCTGACCTCAAGGTGCTCCCAGTGCAGTCCTCTAGCATGCCCTGGCAGATGAAAAAAATCTGTCTTCGTGCACTGGCCTCTTTCTGTAGGCTCTGCTATCTGGGTCAACCCTCCCCCTCGTAAAAAATGCTGAGAATGCAGTTTGTTGTGTCAACATCCCATATGAGACATTTCTTTTTAGTATCTAGAACCAGAAATTTGTCTTTCGTGAAGATTCAGTCTCTCCCTTCTGTCACATAGAAAGAATAAAATGACCTCTTTGTGTTTCTTCTTTCCCTCTGGCTGCCAGGAAGCTCAGAGATAAGTAATAGTATGACAGCATGGGTGAGAGTTGGAACGCTTCCTTCTCAACCCCATGTATCTGTGGCTTCTTTAACAGAAATCTTCTTGTGTTCTTTATGAGAAGAGCACGTGTAAATAAACATTTATGTAAGAAGCCCTGGGAACTGGGAAAGGGCCCAGGTTTAAGAGCAGGAGACCCTCTCTGAGCCTCAGCCTTCTCCTCGGCAGCCCTTGTACAGAGGCAGATGTCCTCTGAGAAGGATTGGCCACTGCCCAAGCCTCACGTGGGGTCACAGTCAACGTCCTCCCTGCCGACGTTATGAGTTTATAACCTTGAACACATTCACTCTTCTGACCCAGTGTGGCCAGAAGTTTTTTTATTTATTTTTTTAAGTCTTTTTTTTTTTTTTCAAGTTCATTTATTTATTTTGAGAGAGACAGAGACAGTGCAAGTGGGCTGGGCGGGCAGAGAGAGAGGGAGACAGAGAATCCCAAGCAGGCTCCGTGCTGCCAGCGCAGAGCCCAATGCAGGGCTCAAACCCACGAAAACACGAGATCATGTCCTGAGCTGAAACCGAGAATCAGATGCTTAACTGACTGAGCCACGCAGGTGCCCCCGAAGTTTTATTTTTGAAGAGGAGTCGGAAAAAGATTTTTCACGTGAAATCTCCTGACATAAATGTTGCCAATTAATTTTCTTTCTTTTTTTTTTTTTCTCCAAAACACTGTGGTGGGTAACACAACAATCTGGCTGTAGGCCGGGTCTAGCCTGAGGTCCTCCCAGGCCCAGACAGTCCAGCCCAATCCACGTCCAACAGAGCCTTTTTGGTGTGTTTGGACTGGGGGTCAGGGGGCAATTTACATGATTTCTGCTGAACTCTCCCCTCTGCCAACACCCAAGAGAACTGCCTTGTTCTGAGATGACCCCAGCCTGGGGCCATGTTGGTCCAGGTGGGCCCTGACCCAAGCTGGGCCATACACGGGACACTGCCCCAGCCTTGGATGACTGGTTTAAAATAGGCTTCTGACCTAGAATGAGCCAGTGAATCCCTCCCGTGAGATACTTGGGCTTGAGGCCAGAGAGAGGGACAGATAACTGACACCGATGGCTGGAGCGGGTAGGATATCAAACTTGGACAGCAGAGGGCCATGATCGGGGGGTCAGGTGGTGACTCACTCATGAAATAGGTGTGCAGAAGCAAGAATAAAAAATGGTGTGAGAAATGGGGCGCCTGGGTGGCTCAGTTGGTTAAGCGTCCGACTCCTGATTTCACCTCAGGTCATGATCTCACGGTTCATAAGTTCGAGCCGGCATTGGGCTCTGTGTGGACAGTGCAGAGCCTGCTTGGGATTCTCTCTCTCTCCCTCTCTCTGCCCCTCCCCTGCTCATGCTCTCTCTCTTTCTCTCAAAATAAATAAATAAAATTAAAAAAATTTTTTTTTCTTAATGATGTGAGTCTGAGTGCCTGGTTCTCGTTGTCCTGACGTCTGCTACTTTCCTGTCCTGCAGGGTCTGAACACCCCAGTGTCCTCATGGAAACTTCCCCTTCTTACCCAAGCCAGTGGAGTTGGGATCTATGATGTTTCTTGCACTCATGCACAGGGCATGTGCTTGGGCCCTTTCTGGTCCTGCCTCTGACCAGGGCTGGGAGACAGTTTTCTGATAAATAAATAACGCTGAGCTTCTAGCCCTGGTGCCCCGGCTCTCAGCCCCAGGCCTCACACCTCTGCTCACTTAGCTGGTGAAATCCAGAGCTTCAGAAGATAAGAAGTTTATCCCCCTCAGGGAAGGGAGCCCAGATACATTGGGGCTGGCCCAGCCAGAGAAACTGAGGCAGATCGGGACCGGCTACCCGGTGGGTGGGGCTGGTCCCCCCTCCATTCTTGTGGGGGGTGATCTTTAAGGCCCTGGAAGGGCTCCACCCTCCAGTGGGTCCCCAGAGAGCCCACTCACCCGCCCACCTACTTCTGCCGCACCCTGCCCGCCCTGACAGCCAGACTCAGAGCCCCCACTCATATGCTCACCAGACTCTGGGCTTTCCTGTCCACCCTTCCCCTCCCTCATGCTGCAAACCCAGGTGGTGGAACCCTCTGGATGGCCTGGGTGGGTTCTTTCTCTCTGTACTTATTTCCTCCTCTGTAAAACATTCTCAGTCCCACTATTTTTCACCTGGCACCCGTTCCCTCTTTTAGGCAACTGCCACTGCCTACCCCTGCCCCCCTCCTCGGACCATGTGATCAGTAGGCTGACTGCCCCTGGCTGCCGTGGTGGGCACCAGAGCTGCCTGGCAATCGGGGCATCCCACGCCCTCAACTCATGTGCCCTGGGGGCCAATGTGAGTTCATCCCCTGAGATTTCACCGCAACAAGATGCATGCCCTCCCCTGAAATGAGGGCGCCAAGGGCTGTGGGAGCCTGGGACTCCCAGGGGAACCTTACCACCCGGTGGAGAATGCCCGCACAAAGGAAACCAGGACTGAGGGAGACAAAGAGACAGACGGAGAGATGGCATGTCCTGGCGACATCCTTGAGCCCTAGGGTTCCAGCCAAGTGTGAGTCTGGAACCGAACCCTTTTATTTCAGCTGTTTTCACTTTGGTGTCTTGTGCCTGCACAAGGGCTGGGTGGCAGTGAGGGGCAGCCGCGTGGTCGGAGAGGGGGTGGGAAAATCTCTCCAAGCTGCAGAATGCCCTGCCGGAGGGGCAGGCACAGCAGGGCTGGGCTTGGGTGAAGCCAGAGACGCACCGAGGGCACAGGATTGAAGGGGGCACCTGGGTGTGAGCCCGAGGCGCCTCTCTGGCCTCACCCCAGCCCGGCTCTGCAAGATGGTGTATACAAGACCCGGTTTGCCCCCTGAAGGAAGAGCAGCTCCAGCCCTCGAGGCAACCTTTGCCTCCCTTCGTTCCTTAGATGGGGCCTGTGCAAGAGTGAGCCCTGGTCTGGGGTCAGGATTTCTGGTCCAAACCTCAGCCCACGGCCCTGTGACCTCAGCAAATCCCTATGACGATAGAATGGTAGTTGTGTCCGTGTGTTCTCCCCCTTTCAAGGAGGCAGACGTTTGGGTTTTTGTTTGTTTGTTTGTTTTGAGAAAGAGAGAGAGAGCGAGAGAGTGTGTGCGCGCGCGCGCACACACACACACACACACACACACACAGGAGCAGGGTACAGGCAGAGGGGGAGGGAAAGAGAAGATCTCCAGCAGGCTCCACGCCCAGTGCAGAGCCCGATGAGGGGCTTGATCTCAAGACTTGGAGATCATGACGTAAGCTGAAATCAAAAGTTGTGGGGCGCTTAACCGACTGAGCCACCCAGGCACCCCAAGGAGGTGGACTTTTTTTTTAAATTTACATCCAAGTTAGTTAGCATATAGTGCAACAGTGATTTCAGTAGATTCCTTAATGCCCCTTACCCATTTAGCCCATCCCCTCTCCCACACCTCCTCCAGTAACCCTCTGTTTGTTCTCCATATTTAAGAGTCTCTGATGTTTTGTCCCCCTCCCAGTTTTTATATTATTTTTGCTTCCCTTCCCTTATGTTAATCTGTTTTGTATCTTAAAGTCCTCATATGAGTGAAGTCATATGATCTTTGTCTTTCTCTGACTGACTAATTTCGCTTAGCATAATACCCTCCAGTTCCATCCACGTAGTTGCAAATGGCAAGATTTCATTCTTTTCGATTGCCCAGTAATACTCCATTGTATCTATGTACCACATCCTCTTCATCCAATCATCCATCGATGGGCATTTGGGCTCTTTCCATACTTTGGCCATTGTTGATCATGCTGCTATAAACATGGAGGTGCATGTGCCAAAAATAAGGAACACTTTATGAATTTGTGTGTCATCCTTGCACAGGGGCCATGCTAATACTCTCTGTATCATTCTAATTTTAGTATATGCACTGCCAAAGCAAGCACAGGAGGTGGACCTTTTAAATGAACCTACAGCCCCCCGGCTAAAGAATATACTTCCCAGCCTCCCTTCCAGCTAGAAGTAGCCATATGACTAAGTATTGAGCAGTAGGATGTAAGGGGATGGGAGGGGGACGGCCATCATGGAGTGTCCTCCAAGGAAGGAAGGGGTCACACTTCCCTCCCCACCTTGCTGCTGGGAGTGCAAGCGAGCCCTCTGGATTTTGCCAACCAAGGCATCACGCCAGGCACGGGGAATAGCCACAGAGAAGCACAGATCCCTGGACATGTGTGGAACCAGCCATCAGACCAGCTCCAGAAAACTTCCCATGAAAGGTGCTGTGAGAAAGAACATTCTATTTGGTTTAAGGCCCTGTTGTTTTCGCGTCTCTGTGCCTGAATCCATATCCTAACTGGTACTCTGCTTCATGTACTCCAGCTACTGGTTTGGTTGTCCCAAGTAGGGGGAGGGGGTGAGAGCTACTGGTTTCTAGTGGGTGGAAACCAGAGATGCTCATTATCCCACAACAAAGAATGATCTGGGCTAGGGGCACTTGGGCGCCTCAGTCAGTTAAGCATCTGACTTCGGCTCAGGTCATGATCTCAGGGTTCTTGGGTTAGAGCCTCGAGTTGGGCTCTGCTCTGACAGCTCAGAGCCTGGAGCCTGCTTTGGATTCTGTGTCTCCCTCTCTCTCTGCCCCTCCCCCACTCACACTCTGTCTCTCTCTCACTGAAAATAAATAAAAATAAAAATAAAATTTTAATTAAAAAAAAAAGAATGATCTGGGCTAAAATGTCAATAGTGCTGCTGCTGAGAAATTACTTTACCTACCCTCTCTGAAATAAGTGTCCCCATCCCTACAAAGGGTTTTTTATGGCACTATTATGTGTTTTTTGTTTTTTGTTTTTATGAAGATCCAGTGAGATGACAGACATGACCCTACCTTCAGGAAAGGAGACAGTCCTGCAGAAATAGTCATGAAGTCTTTATTATTGCAAGAAACTAAGAGGGAAGCCCCAGAGGAGGAGAGTGAGACAGGCTGCTACTCGACATCCCAAATGAGGCAACAGTGTTCCACAAAAGAGGAGGGCTCCCTGGTGGGGTTGGGAGGGCAGGGGGATGGTGCTGGGGGCTGCAGTACAGGGCAGGGGCCTTGGGGAAGGAGAGAGCAGGGAAGCCTGGCACAGGGAGGGAGGTGAGAACCGCTGTGGGCAGCCTATCACAGGCTCGCCCTGTCCCCGCCACCTCCCGCCCTGCTTGGGGCCCCCGCTCTCCCTCTTACACATACACACCTGCCTGTCCCCCTCCCCACTCCTCCCTCCCAGACTCTCTCTCTCTCGTCTCTCTGTCTCTCTTTCACACACACACACCCCTCCGTCCTCTGTGGTCTCACCCCTCTGCACACCCCGTCACACATGCTCACCATTGCCAAGTCTGAGTCCAGAGGGGTGGGGCTGAACTGGAAGGAGCAGACACCCCTCCAAATAGGGCCTTTCCCTTGGGTCAGCTTTGAAGCCTGCCATGTGAGGCTGCAGGGAGGTTGCCTCCTCGGGTGGAGCGGGCCGTTGAGTGTCACCGGGGATTCAGTGGGGAAGTGGGAATCTAGACACTTAGGACAGGCAGGGGCAGCGGTGCCTGACTCCAGGCGAGGGGCGAGAGTGCTGGGCAGCACAAAGGCACTGGAGGCCAGCGGGGGATAAACCCAGAGCTGGGGAGGGCAGGTGTGGAGAGAACTGGCTTGAGGTGGAAAGCAAGCCCCGGGCCAGCAGCAGTGACACCTCAAGATACCCAGGTGCCCCTATCTCACCAGGTGCAGCCAGTGTCCACCCGGAGCACCCAGAAGCTTCTGCCGGGAGGGCCCAGCTCCAGAGGGGTGGCCCGGAGGAGCAGACGTTGTCCTCTCTCTGCCTCAGGGTCTCCAGGCTGGGCGAGGCGGGGGAGGGCGCCCGGCGCCCGACGCCGGTCAGCTCAGACCTCTGGGCCTCCGAAGGCCAAGTTGTCGCGGACCATCAGGGTCTTGCGGAGGTCACGGTCCACCAGGGGGCGCTGCATGCGCCACTTGTGCGCCTCCTGCAGGCCAGGTTCGAAGTAGTAGATGCAGGCGCCGAAGCCCACCAGGATGAGCACGGAGATGACCAGGTATACGGGCACGAACCAGTCCAGGAAGTGCGGCATCGCGGCGGCCTCAGCTGCCGAGACACGGGCGGTGAGTGGTGGCGGAGGCGCCCCTTGGCCCACCTGCCAGCCCGGAGGGAGGCGCGCAGGCTTCGCACAGCCAGGAGGTGTGAGCATCACCTTACAGATGGGACGGCTGAGGCCCAGCAGAGTGGAGGGCAGTGGCTCAGCAGCCTGCCCCCTGCCCCTGCCAAGAACAGAGCTGCCCCCATCACAGGGTGGGGTGAGGGGACCAGCTGGCTCCTACCCACCCTTTCAGAAGCTTATATATAACTGAAGGCCAGGCCTGGTTCAATCCCCTCTCAGGCATTATGTGCCCTCAGGCAAGTTGCCTAACCTCTCTGGGCCTCAGCATCATTGTCCCCTGTGGAAGGGGACACTAACAGAGCACTCAGTAAAGGACGACATGGGCTATGCCTCCTCCTTGCCACCCCTCCCGGCCCTGACTGTGCGGTCTCAGAGGCTGCTGCTTGCCAAGCCCTCACAGATGAGTGGGTCCCCAGCCACCCGCACATCCTGGCAGGGTGTGGTTTGGTGAACAAACACCCAATCCCCAGGGGATCTCGTTGATATCAACAGGGTCTGCACAGGCTCTCGAATTCAGGCCCATGCCCCAAATCATAATTATAAGACTGTGGACACAAGCACCGGCCCCAAATCCTTGGGCCTTGGGTTTCCACATCTGGCAAGTGGGAATGAAAATAGCACCCACCTAGACCGTATGGCTGTTGTGACAGTTCAGTGGGTTAATTTATGTAAGATACTCAGATTTAGTGCCTGGCACATAATACGTGCTGCCTCGTTGTTTGTTCTTACTCTCTGAGCCTCAGTTTCCCTAACTGTAAAATGGGGATAAGAAATAGGATCCATTTCTTAAGGTCGCTGCGAATGTTTAACAAGATAATGCCTAAAGAGCTTTGAGCACCAGGCTGCATCAGAACCAGCACTCATGTAACATTACCTATTATTTCCAGTGAACCAGTGGCAGGAAAGCAGGAACATGAAGGGCAGCAGGTGAGGTGCCTCCTAAATGTTACATACACACAGACCCCTTAGAATGACCCAGAGATACCCACATCTGTGCTCTGCCAACCTCCCCAACCTCATCTCCTGGCCTACCTGGCATCATCTCGAACTGCTTGCCAGTCACCTATGTGCACCTGCGTATCATACAGTCTCTATCTTTCATATGCTTTCAGTTTCCCCGGAATCTCCTTTGTACTGTGTTCAGGTGGCAAACCTCTATTCGTACTTCAAAAGCCAGATCACAGACCATCTCTTACGAAATGGGATAAAGCAGGACCCATTAACTTACCCTCAAACCCTTCCTAAGGTATATAAAAGGAGTAGGGTGAGAAGCCCCACCTCTGCCTGCCCAGGCAGGGAGAACATTCTTAGAATGTGTTCACAAACCTTATACGGGGCCTGTGGGGTAGGTGTTAATGGCTACATTTTACAGATGAAGAAACTGAGGCCCACACGGGTTCACTGACTTGCCCTGGGTTGCCCAACTGGAAGGGAACTAAGAGCTGGACCCTAAACCCCCTGAGATGGCCTGAGGTTTGAGTCCTGTGGGGTGGGTAAAGACCCCTGAGCAGAATGAAATGAGCAGAGGTCCCCCGTGGCTTCTGAGGGAGGGAAGAGAGGGGACAGATGGAGCGGCCTCCAGGACAGGGTAAAGACAAGCCCTAGCTCCTCAGACCTCTGTCTCCAAACCCCAGCTCCCCTTGTCCCATTACTTCCAGGTGGGTCTTCAAGGCGGGCTGTGACCCCGGGGTGGGGGCGGGGGGGGAGAGATGCTGCTTCCCAGGGGTAGCCATCCTGAGGCCCGCCCCTGGCCCCCCAGGTCCCCGTTGGCTATGCCGAAGCACAATGTCTCAAGGTGCCCTAGTCATGCCCTCCTAACCATCTGCCTTTCTGGAAAGCCAAAGAGTTCAGAATCGCTTGGCGTTGCCTGTTGAGGGGAAGTTGGGAAAGGGGGCTCCCAAGCAGGAAGGCTGCTCCAAACTAACCTGACTGAGGCCAAAAGATTCGTGTCCCACCCTTGGCTGCAGGCAGGACCCCAGTCCCCTTGCAGCTTAAACATGAGAATGAGGAACTTGGGCAGAGTTGTAGCAATTTTGGCTGCAATGGTGTGAATCTGTGGACCCCAGCTTAGGGCCCCCCAACCTCTCTAGCCCTGCGATAAAAACCATTCTGGGGCAGACTGAGGACCCCTAGACCTTCTCCTGGTTGAGACAAATCACTCACTGGCTCTCTGTGTGACCTTGGGCTACTCCTCACCCTCTCTGGGCTTCAGGGTTCCCCATGCACAGTGACAAGGTGGGAGGGGGGGTTTCCAGATGATCTATAAGGAATTTTCCAGCCCCCACTCTAGCCAAAGTCCCATCCAGGACAGTGTGAGGGTCGTAGAGCCCCTCCTTCTGCCCCCCCAAGGCATTGGCACTACTCGGTGCCCCTTTCCCCCCACCCCCTGCTTGTCCGCAGACCCACCTCACGACCTGCAGATGCCTGTTCCAGGGGCTCTGTGCTGAGCGCACCGCCTCGGCCTGAGCAGCTCAATGTCGGCCTGTGGACTCAGTCGTAGCTGCTGTCCCCAGAGACACTGCCATCTGCAGCGGCCCTGGGTGCTGGAGGCAGAGAAAGGGCGAGGCCACTGCCTCCCGTGGGAGACAGAGCTTCTCAGGCCCAGGACTCTGACGGGGCTGGGAGGGGGCAGTCCTGGGCTGGCAAGGCACACTGGTAGGTCTCCCTGCCCACCAGGAGACACTTCCCTCTGCCCCCGACCCTCAGGATGGCAGGAGGCGGGACGTGTCTCAGCCAATCAGCAGCCTGGCAGAGCGAGGGCTTTATCCTCCGTTGCCCTGGCAACCAGCCTTCTCTTCTGGATCCCTCGCACTGTGCACGTGGTACAGAAATGACAGGGCAGGGTTGGGAGAATTCGGGGAGGAATGGGAACCACCCGGAAGGCTGCTGAGTCCCGTGGTTGCTGAGTCTGGAGAGGAGGGAACCCCAGCTGAGATAAATGGAAGGGTTTGGAGGCTTGCCGTTTGTGGGTAGGGAGAGATGAGGGTCCCTGGCAAGCGGGTGGGGACACAGAAGTAATGACGAGTAGAGCCAACAAGGGCCATATGTCATAGAGGAGAGAATCAATTCTGAGACAGGGACTCCGGACACATTGGTCCAATGTGGACACTGCTTCAGTGCTTTATTTATATTAATTCATTTATCCATCTTCCACGGTCACACAGCAAGAAAGTCACAATGCCACAGTCAGAGCCTAGCCCGGCCTTCAGGCCCCCACCCAGGTTCTGCCTCACCCAGCCCCCCAGATCCCCTGGGCTGGGATAGAGCCTCAGATGGCTGTGACTCCCAGGCACTGAAGACCCCCACACATCACTTCATTCTGCTCTCAGTGGTGCTGACAGCCCATGTGGGGACGAGGCAGCCTCAGCTCAGAGACGTGATGCTGCTTACCGTCTCCTTCATCTAGGTCATTCAGCTTCTCAGTGACAAAGCTGGGGAGTGGGGGTGGGGTAAGGGGTCCATCCCCCAAGCCTGGGCCCTCCCTCCTGTGCTATGGACAGAGTGTCAGCAAAGTGTCAGGTGCCCAGTGTGCATCCCATAAACAGCAGTGGTTATTGTCTCAGGAGGACAGAGTGGCCCCAGAGGCCAGAGGCTTCAAGGAACCCCCTCCCCAGAGAGTCCGTTCCCAGAAATCTGAGGACAGGCAGGTGGGGAAGGCTGTGGGGGAGATGCCTTCAGGACCCTGGGTCCCCCACCCCACAGACACCCTGCCAGCTCTGGGCCCATCTGGACCCCTGTAAGGGTCGTAGGTCCTCTCCAGCATATATAGGGCAAAGGGAATGAGTTTGAGTTCACAGAGGGGTTTGTATTAAGACAAATTACATGGAGTAAAATACAACTCTTTTTTTTAATTTCTTAAGTTTATTTATTAATTTTGAGAGAGAGAGTGCATGCGTGCATACGTACGTGCACAATGTGAGCAGGGAAGGGGCAGAGAGAGAGGGAGAATCCCAAGCAGGCTCCTCGTTCGCCCCAGAGCCCAATTCAGGGCTCCTCAATATGTAATGTTACATGAGTGCTGGTTCTGATGCAGCCTGGTGCTAAAAGCTCTTTAGGCATTATCTTGTTAAACATTCGCAGCGACCTTAAGAAATGGATCCTATTTCTTATCCCCATTTTACAGTTAGGGAAACTGAGGCTCAGAGAGTAAGAACAAACAACGAGGTAGCACGTATTATGTGCCAGGCACTAAATCTGACTACCCACCATGGTGGGTCCATGTAAATGGACTCAAATACAACACGCACTCGTTTGTGTCTGGGCCTCTCCCTCAGCACAGCGCTTTTGTTGCTCACCGATGCTGTTCCATTTATCACTATACCACAACTTGTTGATCTGTTGACCACTGAAGGACATTTGGGTTGTTTCCAGTATTGGACAATTGTGAGCAAAGCCTCCAAAGCGCTTTTCAACAGTTTGGAGTAGGAGAACAGATCGGAGTTGGGGGAGGGAAGACAAAGGGGCACAGAGAAACCAGCCACAGGATTCTTTATTTCCACAAAAAATTTTTGGGAAGCTTGGGGTGCCTGGGTGGCTCAGCTGGTTAAGCGTCCCACTTTGGCTCAGGTCATGATCTCATGGTTCATGGGTTCAAGCCCGGCATCAGGCTGCTTTGGATCCCCTGTCCCCCTCTCTCTGTCCCTGCCCCACTTGAGAGTGCATGCGCTCTCTCTCTCTCTCAAAAATGAACGAGCATTAAAGATATTTTTTCAGAACTAGGGGAAGCTCAATATGTAATAGAGACAAAGCCTGAGCTGCTTCTGTGAAATAACAGGGTGGGCTTTCTGGATTCTACCCACTCAGCTTCTCCTTGTCCCCTCCAGCATCCCTGAGGTATCTCCACAGAGTTCCACAGAAGCTGATTTCAGAGACAGTATCCCAGAGAGCGTCTGACGGCCCTGCCAGCTCTGGGTGTTCTGGGGGTTGGGGGGAGGGGGCGGGAATCCCAAGCAGGCTCCACACTGAGCACTGGGATCGTGACCTGAGCCAAAATCAAGATTCAGATGCTCAACTGACTGAGCCACCCAGGCACCCCCGGGTGTTCTTGATACAACAGTTTCCATCCAGGCCTGGGTCTTCCCTTCCTGCCAATCCCCACCCTTCATCACGGTGCGATTCTACTCACGACTATTGTGTATTGCACTGCCCGTGTGACAAGCACCAACTCATCTTAGCACCACAGCCAATAATCACCTCCCCCAGCGAAGTGTAGCCGTGGCTCCCCAGGGACCCTTCATGCATCTGGGCTCCTCCGCTCCCTGGGGCGGCCCTCACCAACTGTGCTGCTTTGGTTGTTGCTATCTGTCCTTCTACCACGGAAGCAGGGGTGACACCTCTGGTGCCTGGGTCACTAGTGCCCAGCACCAGCATTGGCCTGAGGCAGGCACACAGCACGTGTTGATTGAATGGGTCTCAGCTCAGCCCCTCCTAGAAAGTGCTGACAGGAGCCAGGATCTCTTTGTGACACTCTAAGGACCTCAGTCACCTCTGAGACCTCATTCTCCCCAGTTTCTCCTCATTCCATCCACTTCAGCCACTGGCCTCATTGCTGCTCCTCAGAAGTGACAGGGGTGCTCCCCACCCTCCCACCCCCCAGGCTCTCAGCACCTGCTTTCTGCCCAAAGCCTCTTCTTCAACGTACTGAACTGGCTCTTCTCTCACTAAATTCAGGCATCTGCTCAAATATCACCTTCTCTCTTTTTTTTAAATTAATTTATTTTTTT